AAAAAGAAGGCTAAATATATAAATAAGACGAAGTTTCTCCAGGACATTTTATTGGCTTTTTCCTTTTACCTTATGATAAGTGAAAGCACCATTCTATTAGTTACTAAGGTTTTGCTTAATATTTGTAGGAAGAGGGATTATCATTAGTTTTGCTTCAAGGAAACCATAAAGAGAATTACCTCTAGCATGTTCCCAGTGTTGATTTATGCGTGCCTTTCAACTTGCTCCAAATCGACATGAAAAGGGGGATCATTTCTTGGTCTACATTTAGAAATTAGAAGGAAACCCAGAACTTGGCCCTACTTCATTAAGACATCTGGGAGCAAAATAACTACGCTTAATCATTTTCAATCCCCTCCTCTCTTCCACGAAAAAAAAATATAACTTTCCTTACTTCCCCAAACGTACTTTTTCATTTCTGTGAATTCAATGACCATCTACCCCTCAAATATTAATGCTTTCCATCAGATCACTATTTAGCATATGATCCATGTTTCCTGAAAATCTCTTTGATGCCTGAAAGTCTTCAATCTTAACATTATTAACACATTTTAAACTAGTTTTCCACTCCCCCAAACCATACCTCTTCCTCAAGAAAGTCAGTTTCATCCCTCCTTTACTCCTACCATCTGTCATCTAATCTTTTATTCTATTTCTATTCTTTTTGACTTCTCTATCCCCTTCCCAATAACCCAGGGTTGCTCATTCTGCTGCCCTTGCCAAAAATGAGAACAAACATAATAATTTCTAGCATGTGCTGAGCACTGTGCTGAGCACCATGTGTCAGACATGGTGCTAAGCATTAGATATGTGTGACCTCGTTTAATTCTTACTATAGTCTTGTGACAGGTACTATTACTACCACAGTTATCACTAAAAGATGTGGAAATTGTACCCAAGGCTACAGAGTAAGAATGTGGCAGGCTCAGTTTAAATCTAGTTGGAGGCCAGTGCTTTGACCTCCCTTTTCCAGCGAATTCAACATTTCAAGGCTTAGTTTAACATGCTTATTCTTTAACGAAGCCTTCCCAATCTCCTATCCCTTCGTCTTCTATGCTCTCAGTATTTTCCACCCAGATTTGTTACAGTACACATCATTATTTATGCACTGGCCTATTTATCAGTTCCTTCGACAAATATATTTGAGAGCGTACTCTGTCAAACATAGTACTTGATACAGGCTATCAGCAAGAAGCAACCCTGGACCTGGCCTTCTAGAAACCAAAAGGAAAGAGAGTTGAAACAAACAAACAAAAAAGCACAAATACACCATAAAATCTGAGATGATAACTGCTATGGAGAAAAACTTTAGGTGCTGGTGATGTGTCTGTTTCCAGACATCACATGAATGCCACTAAAGCAACTTCGATATTTTTACTTTCCCACCACTAACTTGTTCTGTATTGACATACAGTTGGAATTATATTAATAAATTATAAGAACTATTTAGGTTAGAGAGTAGATTTCAAATTGGAAGTTGAATCAACCTTGTAGAAATGGAATGGTATAACTTTTTGGCCTTATGACAAGAGCTGCAGGGGCAAGAAGACAAATATTATGAATGAAAAAGACTGGGTTTGATCAAAGGCAAGATTGTCTCAATGTAAATCTCTCAATTCAGGAATGCACTTGTTCTGTTTGATATAGTATGAGTTTGACAGACTTCAGAACATAATGAAAAGTTCTATTTACTCAAACTTTTGATAGAAAGGAGATGTTGAATGAGGGCCTAGAAGGATAAACGGGTTCTTTAGAGTTCTTGTTACTGCTTGTTGATATATTGTTTACCCCTTTTACATCTGCTGAGTACAAAAAAAATTAACAAATTGTATTTACAAAAATTTATTCAAATGATATCTCAAAATATGATATTTTAGATCTAAAATTTCATGAGATGCCCGCAAATGTATTTCTTGCTATAAAATAGTTGTAATATTTTCAAGCAATTTTAACCTTGCATGTTAAGTGCTTCTAAATTGACAGCAAAAGCTATAATACATGATCAAAGAGTGACATCTTAGATCAAAATATTGTAACTCAATGACTCAAAATGAATAATATTTAAATATACATTACAAGGGTTTATCGATAGACACAAAACCCACTTTAGGCTGTAAACAACATTATAAAAAGATTTTAAATTGCTCAGACATGTTACACATTATTAGTAACCCTTTTTCTGTTTCTGTTTCCTATGACTAAATTTATTTCATTTGAGTACTTAATTTACCACTCTTAGTAAGTTATGAAAAAACTACACCTATTTGGAAGTGGGTTTTGTTATTGGAGAAATGAAATTAAAAAAAATACAGCAAACCTAAAATATAGTCATTGGTTCACTGCAAAGAATGAAGATATTAGTCCCAATTCAGGGTGCTGCTGTAATCATATGTCATAGTTGGTTTGCTGGAGTATCAGTGTCCTTCCTCATAATATCCAGACAGGTATGGGCATGTAAATCAGGTTGTTAACATTAATGTAAGAGCTTGGAGTTTAATGATGAAAAATGCTATATAAATATTATACTAGGTAATAAAAATTTTTGCCTCAGGAATTCTTTAAATTATCCCTAGAATTTTGTAAAATATAGAAAGAGGGATTATTTACTTTTTCTGTTATAGATCTTCTATTCTACAAGAGTAAAGAAGACTAACAATTAAAGTCATCCTCCAGTTCTGTGGTATCTTTTTCTTAAAAGCTGCTTAATAGTTTCACTTTGAGATTTTAATCTCTCAATCATTCTCATGGATTTTAACTACTTCATAAATCAATAACATTTATTTTGTATTGAATTCCTCCTCTCCCCAAAGCAAATTTCCTTCTCCTTTGATCATCAAAAGTAAAAAACCGAGCTTATTAGATTTGAGACCTTGATCTATTTCCCCACTACATCTCTTCTTACCTATAATCCACCTGGTAGACACTGGAGGAAGTCTGACATTGGGAAATGTTATCTGCCCTTGGTTCACTCAGAGTTACACAAATATAGGATGTTATATTTTTCAAGTTTTCTGTATTTCACTCTTAATACATGTGAATTGTGATAAATTATGCTCAACACAACATAATTTGATGATTTTAGATGAAATGAGACCTATAACATTTTACCATTGCTATAACTGCATCTTAAATTACAACTCATTTTCTCATTTCATAAGAATAATATAGTTTAAAATGATTTTCAATTTGACTTAATTATATATGTATGTTTTAATTAAAACAAAATTCCAAAATAATATAGTCTGAGTTTATGTATATATTATATATAAATACATGTTGTCAATATATAAATTATAAAAACATATATAACATATAAAATATACTTAATATATAATTCTAAACATCATTTAGAAAAAAATCAAATACCTAAGTCATGGAATAACAAGTCCTTCTAAAACTAGTAATTTCTGATAACATTAATAATATATAATTGGACTAAAAATAACTTAAGAATATACGGAGTCAAATAAAAGTATTCTATTGCTGTCAGCATTCAAAATCACCGTGAGGGTATTATTTTCGTTATACAATTTTGTAACTTCCAAAATGCACACCTTAGGGAAGGAACAAAACAGTTTTTCCTGATGGTTATACGTTAAAGAGACTAGCCTGCATAAAAATAGTAAATAAAATAACTATGAGTGTCAAGCAGTTTCGAAGACCAATAACTCATTGAGAGGCTTTGATTAACCTAATCTAGCTCATCACTGCAACAGTGAAGGAAACCACTTGCTAACCCATGGTCCCCTCAAAGCTACGGAATGAATAATGTAGCAACCACTGCTTCCAAGACACAGAACAGGGTTAAAAATTTACCTTTAATGGAGATAACTTCCAACAGCCTTTGATACCACTTCATCCTGCCATTCTGTTGTAATGACAAGGATGAAAACTACTGCCACAGGCCTCATCATTTTTCTACTTCATTTACTGCCAAGGTCCTCAATTCTGCTGCATAATAGAGTCACCTCATTAGGCTCAGAAATTTGCCAGACAATTGTTTTGGAGTGGGCCTGGGGCATTGGTATGAGCTCTCAAGGTGATTCCAATGTACAGTCAGGACTGTGAATCAATGATTTGCTCCCATAGTTGCTGCCTTTAGGTTTCCCTGCCTTTAGCCTTGCCCTCCTGTGACATCCTCTATTAATGCTGCAAGAATTATCTTTCTGTAATGCCTACAGAATGAAATTCAAGCTTCTGAGACAGTATAGAAGAAAACACGATCTGCTCTTAAAACCTGAACAGCCTCCTCTCTCCCCACTAGCTCTACCAAGCACTTGTTATCAACATGCACTGACTCATCTCTTGTTCTGAAATGCTCTCCGCTGGAAAAATGCATCTTGCCTATGAAGCCTTTCCTGATATCCTAACTTTCACTCCTCTTTCCGTGTTCTCAAAGCACAAGTATACTGGTTTTGTGTTTTAGTTTGTCTTTGTTTTTGACTAATCATAATGAACAGGCATTTTAGAACATATGTCTCTCTCACCTTCATTAGACATTTTTGGAGTGAGGACTATGTTACATTTGCCTCCGTAACCCCCAAACTTAGCACCTACCTTGCACATACTGGCATTTTGTATTTGCTGAATAAATGAACGAAAGGCATTTTACAGTTTTCACTTATGATAGACAGAGCCTGAGGGAACTCACAAGCTTATACTAAAAGTCAAGCTTATACTAAATTTAAAAAAGTCTTAGTATTTATTTAATATTTAATAATAGTAATGACAATTACTGTAAAGATTAGCCTTCCAGTTGGGTTAAGAGGTGACTTTGAAACATGGTTAAAGTCGAAGAAAAACTTTAATTAAATCTTCAAGCATGCTTGTTCTCTCATCAGTGTCCCCAAACTATACATTTTCAGAATCATAGCAAATATATACTCACCTTTAGACTCCAGTAAGGGAAGGAAGCCCACTTACTGCCCACCACAAGTTGGCCTAATTTGGCTGCTCCCTTCATGTGACATCTAACCCATAACTCTGGAGAACATGCTTACTTTGTATTTGCTTTCTGATCTGGAAGGAGTGGGAATATGTCCTTTTCTCTTGAAGGTTGTAAAGTGCTTGCACTGAGGACATGGCTTGGTGCTGGAATCAATACGGCCAAGTTCCAAGAAGTACTTATATTTGATGGAGTCTTCGTGCGTTAAGTTATAGATAACTGTTGTTTCTTCCAGGAATTCAAAACATTCTGTGATAGGGCATTTGATTTCTACTTGGCCAACTTGTACCTGTGTCAAAGAGCAGAGGGGAGAAAAAACAAAAGGCACTAGTTATTATGTCTGTTTTTTTGTTTTTGTTTTTGTATAGTATTCTTTATTTAAGGATTATAGTAAATAATTACCTGTCATTTTTCATGATTCCTAACATAATAAATGGTAATCACTTTGGTACCCATATTAAGCAGTACCAAAATAATTAATCACTATATTATGTTTTCAAAATGAGTTATAGCATGTTTAAGCTTTCTCTATCATTACATTTGTGAACTTAAATGAACCTAATCCACAGGATCACCAAAGAAGCAAATTATCATCTCGTCCTCTGTAAATGTCAGGTGAGAGAGCATTCAGAAAATGTGCCAACTAAAGGAACAGCTAGGATGACAAGGTCTTTCAGATTTTTCAATCTTACTACCAAGTACATCAGGACTAAACTTAGGGCACATTTTCTGACTCTTCCATATAAAGAACATATAGTGATTCTTAATCACAAGAACAAGTATGAAAATTAAGCCAATCACAACAATATAAAAAAAAAATGTTAATGAGATTTGGCTATTACTTCAGTAATCTATAAAATGAATTTCTTCAAAGGACCACAGTTAGATTAGGAGAGGAGAAGGGCACACTGGAATGCTACATTTAGCATTTGGTGTGGGATTCAAATATGGCTAACATTAAAGATTACAGTATAAGATCTAAGCACAAAGTGTAGACACAACTAAATTTTAAAGATAAAGACAATAAACTACTTTAAAATAAGGAGCACCTAGAATGTTCTCCATAAGTCGTGAACAAGAACTCTTTATATCCATGGCATCATAATCTCTTTTGTCCATCTAATGGAGCAAACAGAGGCAGTGACAGCTCCAAATGGCAAATGATGCTAACCTATTCTTTTTCACTTGGTTGAACCTGACAGTCTAAGCAGGCAAAACACATTGAACTTAATAAAAAATACCTACTGAAGACTGAAGGATGAATGGGGAAAAGCTACCTGGTCTGGAAAAAAGCATCACCACCTAAAGCAATTAAAATAAAACAAACAAACGAACAAAAAAACCTTAAACTCATAGTAATTCTCAACTTTGCTGTCTACTTGGCAGACTTGAGGAAAGGTAGTTAAGCTACAGGCTGAAGGATGCATGGGAATGATATATTTAACACCAGTAAAGGACTTATGCCAGACTGATTACAAAATAAAAGAGCCTGCCTTTGGATAAACCTCCTGATTAGTGCTCACCTGTTGAAAGTGTAAATTGGTACATAATTTTATGCTATTATTGTACGAAGCATTGTCCAGAGAGGTTTTTTTGAATATTTGCCCAAAGCAAATTTTTCTCCTTTTTTGGATGAGTCTTCCTATAGTTACAATCAGATTTTATTAGTACACTTGTTACAGAGTTATGATAAAGTTATTATACCTCAGATTATGTTTTATAATAAATTATTTTCAGTTATAGCTCAAGACAAAGGTCCTCTGAAGACTTTAAATAGACAAAAACGATGTGTGAAATTACAGGAAACTGGTTTAATGAAGTGTGTTAGACATTTTAAAAATTAATACGTTTCCCTTTTTATCATGCTGTCGACATTTACCAAGCTTGACTCTGAGCCAGGTACTGCGTTAGGCACTGAAGCTTTGAAGTGTCTGTCAGTAAAGCAGCAATCACAATGCAAAGTGATAAATGTGCTTGACAGGGTGAGCGCACGGTGTCAGGAAGGATATGGGGCAGGCTCAGTAACCTCATGCTGGGGAGGTTCAGAAGAGACTTCTTAGAAGAAGTGAGGTTTCAAGTGAGATCTTAAGATTTGTAGGACTTAGCCAAATAAGAGTGAAGTTGTTTCAAGCAGACAGAAGCTGCAACACAGGCAAAGGCCTGCAGGTAAAAGAATACATACTGCTCTACAGTAGGGATACCCATATTTTTCCTACATCACAATTAGATCAAATGTACACGCCCTCAGGTACAGGTACATGCATCCTAACTTAAAGATGAAGCTTTAGAGGGACTGAAGGATGAGCAGTAAGACTGGACCACAAAGTGTGAGTATAGAGATGAACTGGGATCAGAGCACAAGGGCGGAGTGTGGAGCCATATTAGAAGTCAATGTTTTTCCATGAAAATAGAAAAATTTGGTTTTTCAGCATGTGAAAGAATTTCTTTTCATTCCACACAGAAGAATCTCACCTGGGACATTGGGAGTGACTCTTGTTTATTGGGCAACAGTATACTTTAGTAAGAGACAAAATTTTTTAATCTCATGTCAATGTTTTCATCTGGCCGTCCTCACTTTTGAGTTTATTTATTATAACTATATAAGTGATAACAATGACAGCAGTAATTTCGCAGTCACCCAGGAACAGTCAGGTCTATAGATATGGAATGTTGTTTAGGAACCAGAACAATGCAAGACAGCGTAAGGGAGCAGAGGTTATCTTGCTACTCCTCAGCAGGGGCGTTCATTAGCATAACACATTTGCATCCTTCCATCTAACATCCAACCAAGTACTTTTCTTCTTCAGTGTTTCTCAAATCTGCCTGCAAATCTATTCCACTTCCATAGTACACACAATTTCCTTATGCTTTCACACACTCTGCACTTTGCCTAGTTCATTCCTTCTTTCTGGAAACTCTAAAATCTCTACCCCACTACACTGAGCCAAATGATCTCATATATTATTAAACAGATAGAAACACTATGGTCATATTCCTTCATCTTCTCACTAGTAACCCTACCAATCCCTGTCTGTCTCGATCTTTTCTGTCTTCTCTCCTTTTATACTGTAGGGCTTGAATCTATTTCCAGGACAACTGCATGAGTCTCTTGAAGTATTCATTGACAATTCAAGTTTCCTGGCACATTCAGGATTTATAAAATTTTAATCATTGCTGGTAAGCTAGTCATTGGCAGTTGGGAACAGTTACTCATACTTCTTCATACTAGCAATATCACCCTTTTAATGATAAAATGCTACTCATGGTCTATGTAATCTCTTTGCCTCTACATGTCTATCTTTTCCAGAGTAATTTCCTGAAAAGATCACTAGCAAATAAGTCATCATGATTAAGCAAAGTACACTCATTCATTTATTCAAAAGATAAGTATTTCATCAATTCAAACACGCATTTTTTTTCAACAATTTAATATCTCGAAAGTCAAGATTTTCTTACAATCAATAGTCTTTAGCACTGTGCCATAGTTTAATTTGCAGTGCTTTTAATCTCTTCGTGGCTCATAATATAATACGGCATCCTACAGTTGATCATGTCTTAGATTTCAAGAAAATGTGGTTTTTATAGGTTAGGCACTGCGATGGACTCTGAGAGATGAGAAGAGAGACAAAGGGCTTCTATCGGAGGAAATGTATGATAAACAACTAAATAAACCAGATTATAATCAGTGTTATGAAGGAACTAAACATTAGGGAAGATGTTCTGAGTAGGTGACAACTTGAACTGAAAACTAAAGGGTCTGTCATCCAGGAAACTTGGGGAATAGACTACAGGCAAGGGAAACAAGGACGGTGGCCCCAGGACAGAAGGTGTCTGATGTGCCTGTGTTCAGAGAACAGAAATGAAGGACTGAAACACTAAACGAGCCACAACCCATAGGCTTTGTTGTTGCGATAAGAAGTGTGGATTGGATTCTAAATTCAATATGAATTATTGACCGGTTTTATGAGGAGTGACATACCCCAATTTATATTAAAAAATAATTCAGGTTTTTTCCTGGAGAATGGACTGTAGACAAATAAAAGTGGAGACTGAGAGAACAGGAGGACTCTGGGTTGTTCCTGTTCTTCCTATCAGTGGCATCTGACTCTGGCAGTTGTCCAGGCAGTAGATGATAAACAACTGAACTAGGCAGCATGAGGTAGGCAGACATGGGGCAGATTCTGGAAGTGGAACCCATGAGATTTGATGGTTGACCAGGTACAAATGAAATAAAGGAAGAAATCAA